ATTGCAGGTGAAGTGACCTGCACGTATGTAGAAAAGCCACTACTAGAGTGCAAAACGGAGTCAGCTTGAATGCTGATGCCGACTGCACAAAGACCTGCAGGCCTAATTCACCTCTTTCTTTTTTATTATGTTCGTATTTGTCTCCACTGGAGCCGCGCATCATGCCTAAACTGTGAGATCATCATCGCCTCGTTTCTAGCCGCTCTGTTTGCACCATCACCTCGAAAACAACCCACATCACGAGGAGGGAAGGCAGCATCCTGTTCGAGTCTAAAACTGTTAGAGATCAATGCTTTCGTTTTGTATTTAAACTATGAGACTTTGTTAGCCTGAGAGGTGCTCATCGACATTCTGCTTCTGTCCGGGCGGAGCTCCATAGGACTTCTTGTAGGGCGAATATTTAAAGGCAGCAAAGAGGAGGAGAAAAAAAAAAAAAAAACCTCCATCCTGAAAAAGGACACCTCAGTAACATGCTGACCACGCAACATCGCCATAATTGTGCCACACAGTGAAGCCCTGCCTACCCGATCACAACCTCGTGGTCAGTGATGGATAGAAAAAGAAAAATATATATTTATGCATGCATGTCTTATCCGAACGAGGCCGTCCTGTTCTGTTCCAGAGGCACAAGTGAAGCCGCACTTACCTAAAACTGACTCTCCCCTCTTCTAGGTGTATTCGCGGTCCAAGGCGTCGTTAGTTGTCGAGCCAACAACTTCTGCTGGAGCGTATGTATCCAGTGCTCATGCTGGTGGCGAGGTTGGATTGCGGACGCTTTGCCAATCCTTCTCATGCTCGAGAGGCAGAAATCCGTCGCTTCTGCGTGGTCTCAGGCATTGGCGCGCGCGGAGCTCTGAAGTGATGAAGTCCGTCAAGGAGAGGAAAGCAAATGAAAGAAGGAGCGCCAGAAGTGCGACTCGGTGTGTTTGAAACAGTTCAGCCTTGTCTGTTTTTTTTTTTTAATTAGTATTCTTGCGGTGAATATCTGTCTCCCTGTAGGAGCCGTTTCAGCGGGTGGAGAGGTGTGGGATGGATATCTAGAATAGGGAAGCTGGGATGCACTGACTGAGGGCGAGAAAGGGGGAGGTACAAAGAATCCTGTATGGTATTATAGAGGACGGTCATGGCAGACAGTGAGGGGTGGGTCTGGACTCTCTCGGGCTGAGGGGCAATGCTCCTGAAGGTTGATGCGTCGTGACTTTTTGTTTTAATTATTATTTTTTTGTTTTAGAAATGTCCACGAGTTTATTCAATTGCATGATAAACATTATATTGATTCCTCAAAAGAAAAGTGTAAGGCGATTTTGTTTAATAAGTTTCATTTGCTTATCATCACAGTGAAAATTCACCTGAATAGTTCAGTTGATTTATTGAGCTGTATTTACTGTATTTACTCTTCACATAATGATATTGCATTTTTATAATTTATATTTGCAAATAAATAAATAAATAAATAAATAATATTATCTACATACCTACCCATCTTCTTGTCTATCTACACATCCATCCAGCCACCCTAAAACTTAGATATTCAAAGCAAAAACTGTGTAAATTAAAAAGGAGAGAGCCAGAAGAACTTGTAAGGGTGAAAAGAAAAGTAGGAACATGAGTAGGAACTGCATGGCATCTAATTTAAAATAAACCTGGACCTGAGAGTCCATCAGCAGCAACGCTGTGAGTGAGTTGAGTTTCTCTGTACACACGTCAAACGTTTGCAGTTGCTGTCCATGGTGCTGAATGAAACCTCAGCAGACACTCAAGTAGATAGAAATTCTGTTTGCTGTCCATGGTGCTGACACAGAAGGGCTTCATTTGATTCCTGCCTCTGATTGATGCAACATGTCTGCTGGTAGTTTCTGGCTCCTGGCTGGGGTGCTGAAATCAACTTGATGATAAAATCTCGAGTAAACAAATTAGATTTTCTTTTTCATTATTTAATTCACTATATGTCCTGATATAGATGATGATATATGATGATGTATACTTGACAGAATGAACTAAAGCATTTTTGTTGCCCACTGTGAAAAAAAAGTAAATACTATTGTTTGTGCTCATGTATGTGTGTTCAACTGTCTGTCTGTCAGTAAAATATTTCAAGAACTAGTAGGTGGAGTTTTTTTTTGAACATCAGAAAATTAATAATTGGACGTATATAAATTGAGCAACTTTTAGAGTCAACCCAATTCAAGATGGTTACTCCAGCTTGTCCAGCATTTTCATGTGTCAATGTAACGTGAATTACGTATATTATTTAAAATGAAAAAAAATTACTCTGATGTATTGTATTTTTCATGAAGTGGTGATTTAAAATGCACTACTTTTATTTATTTATTTATTTATTTATTTAGATTTACCAGACACATAAGTGTGTTTGCACAAAGTCTCAGTATCAGACCAATATCAACGATACCAGCCTGAGTTTTACTCTGTATCAGAATCGGAAAGGGAATCAATAGCATCGAGCATCACTGGCTATTGGATGTTAACAAACACAAAAAAATGGCTGTAAATCAGCATGTTTTACAGATACTGCGCTACATTTGGATAGTGACAGTCATCAACAAAATATTCTCTGAATGAGAAACATAAGCTTCACACATCCTGTTTTAAGTTGGTRTGCTTTATTTTGACAATTAACAGTAGTGCACTGGTAAATACTATTCAACCCCCCTTACAGTCACAATGTAGAACTGGTTTGTGATAACAATAGTCTGGCAACAGATGGCTGTAAAAATTTTGAAACGTGCAGAGATGTGACATAACCACAATTTGTACAAATATTTCCCACAAGACAAAAGCAGCCCAACCTTCTGTGTTGGATTTTACTCGTATATCAACTAAATCTGCCTCTATCACCCCCCACCCCCCACCCCCAATTTCTGCAATGCAGCACACAAAAGCAATTAGAGCCAACTGACTAATTAAATAAAAAAAACATAGATTTGCAAGTCTCCTATTAACCATTCATGATTATTAATATTTTGGGATCATGTTTCAAGAGAATTCTSAAATGTGTGTTCAAGCCTGTGTTTAAGTATGTTTGAGAGAAAATTTGACTAAACATATAAACATTCCAAAAGAACACGGTGATATTTAATATTACTATTTATTCTGTGTTTATTTGATTTTTTTTTATTCTCTCTAGTGAAGAGTAGCTGCATCTGAATGTTGTGCTGTTTGTTTTGGTTTGATTTGACTCAAGTTTCAAGGATGTGAATAAACATTTATTTTTTAAATTAATTTTGACATCAGCTAAGTCACACTTTACAACTCACTAACTCTCCAATGGTCCACTTGCTGTCAAGTGCTTGAATCATCTACCGATGGGCAAAGAACCTGGTGCACGCAGCATCCCATGGAACTCAATGAGGCTAAATGGATAAATGGTGCCATTACATTGTCATTTGCCTGCAAGTGGTGGTGACACACGACAAGTTTTGGTTGGAGTCGCAGACATAAAATGATGCAAGGTTCACTGAACCCATCACATCTCATAACTCTTTTAGTTGTAGCTTTTAATTTGAAACCTCCCTTCAGTTTTTGAGATTTTCCTGTCACTGAGGTAATTTAGCTCCCAGACACGCTCAAGATGGCTCTTACATTTCATCATTTTCTTGTTGTTTCGACAATAGTTTCTGCAGCTGAGTTACGGGACGACGTCAAACAATATGTGGACTAGTCACGGATGTTGTCCGGATTAGATGTCTATTAAAATAAAGCATATGTCACTCAAGCTGTGATATAGAAGCCAGTTGGATTTCTAGTGAGTCTCCCTATAAAAAAAAAAAAAAAAAACATTTGGTTGCATACTGCATTTCTAGAAAAATGTTATCATGCCCAACGAGATAAACAATACTTGGTGTTATACTTTGATCCATGGGTTACTGCAGGTGGAATGGTATCCCAGCATTTCAAAAATTCTGTCTGTTATGTTAATGTCGGTCACAATAGCCACTCATAAGCACCAATGTTGGTCTCAGTGTATCTTGATGATATGTACCTTGCATTATGCATTCACATGCTTGTGTGGTAACAAGAGAGTTGGAGGATATGTAACTCAACTTAGTTTTCCTCAGAGAGAAAATAGTCAGAAATGTCTGTCCAAGAAAACAAGGACAAGTAGACTTTGGTAAATTTGTTGGAAATAAATGTTTCACAATTAAAACTGAGAGTCCTAGAGAAAAGGTTCAGTAAATGTAATAAATGACACACAGGACAGAACTCTCATGATTGCACAAAAGGTTGGTAAAGCTTTGTTAACCCCAAAAAGTTGTAATATTCAATATTCATGGGTCTCTAGGCCTCATTTTCCATTGTCCTATCTGCGACTCGTCAGCAGGCCTTTCATCATGTTAATTTATTCACCACTGGATTCCCTTCATTTGAGATTTGACTGGCACACTTAATTACATCATCCCATTGCACGCTTTTCTTTCTGCAGCTCTGACTAAAGACATTGTGCCACATACTTCTCATGGACCCTTTCTTTCAGAGTGGAAAACAAAGTGGGGATATGCATGACTTATTTTTTGTAACTTTTGTGAAATATTTTTTACAAGGGACACGTGATATTTATTCAGAAACACAGATTCAGTCATTACTAAATCAAAACAATATGCATCTCAAAACATTATTGATTTTATAAACAATTCACTTTATAAACATGTACTTAAACAATAAGAGCTTGTGACTTCTCAGTCTGCTTGTTTGTGCTTCTCCATCACTGGTGGTAAGTCTGAACCTGCAAGCAAACAAAGTTCTTGGACAWTCGTAATAATAGGCATTAGGGATACAATGAGGATTTCTCTTGTTCTGACTCCACATCACTATCAGGCTAATACATTCAAGCACTGTTTGCCTCAGGCAGAGACAGCAGGGGACCAAAATTACAGATATATGAGGCTCCTGCTGGTGAATTTAGAAAAAGACTTAAATCACATTGAAGTTCAGCAAAATTAAACATCGCAGGGTTTCTTACAGATTTATTTTCTCCTGTAAATTACATACAGTAGGATGCTGGCATATGATTTGCCTACATTCCAACATGAATGAAAGTTTATGCATAAAGTAAAAATAGATGGCAATAAGTTTTATTTTAATGGCCGATTATAGGTTTATGTTTACTGGCTCTCTGAACAGCTGTATTTGCTATTAAAAGGGTTCAAACATACAGGAATTTTGAAACTAATTTAAAGAAAACATGAAAACTGAATAAAAAATAGTAGTCTGTCATTTTGATCTTGGTTTGGAATTAAGCAAAAAAGTGATGAAAACTAGCTTTTCTGATGTGATTAGTGCTGAAATTGTGTTCAGATGACATGAGAAGGATGCTAAGCAGAGTCAGTTCACACAAATCTGTAGAATTTGTTAATTTTCTAAGTTGCAACTAAGTTTGTATTTGCAGTAAAACATCATGTTTCCTCAAACTGTGCATATGGAACCCTCAAGGTTGTGGGCTCAGTCCTTTGCTGTTTACGCAGCTGACTAATGGTTGCAACGTTAATTAATAAGTTTGTTGATGATGCAACAATATGGCACACATAAGTCACAACTTAAAGAGCAGATGTAGCACAACTGAAGTAGGTGGAAACAACAATTTGTCCTAAATGTTGACAAAATAAGTTAGAATACATTCATCAAATTTCCTTTCTGATGATTTCTCTATGGAAGATATCAGAAGCTTTACATTTTCTGAGCTTTTTGTCATTTTCTGGACTCCCAACACTACACACCTAACCAAGAAAGCTCGGCAGAGGATGCACTTTATAGGAGAGTGAATCATGTAAAAACCATTCCCTCTATCCTCATCACTTTATATAAGGGGTTATGGAGATCATTTCAACAAGCTGCATCATGTCCTGTTATGGCAGCTGAAGTGACATTTACAAGAAGACTGTGACATCCAGTGAGATTATKTTTAACCTAGATAACTGTTGCTTTATTTGGCCTTGCAATTAATGGATAGAGTTAATTGTTTTCTTTTGCAGTCTAGCATGCTAATTTTAATGTATTTAACTGGTTTCTCTGTTTGAAACTATGAATAAAAGATGTCAAATTTAAATAGTATGAGCCAGGGTGAAGCCAACATGCGATCATTAGACAACATCAAGTTTGTTACCTGGTCTCATAATGAATGTAAACGACCACTGAACCAACCGTGCCAAATCTGGAGTTGTGTCTTTCAGAGGCGTCTTCTGGGGAAAGAGCAGCTACAAATTTGAGATATTAAGCGATGGTCAGGAAGCTTATGGCAGGCACATGACATCCAACTCCAGCGTGTG